CTAATAAAATTTAAACGCCTTTGTTCCTACAGTCAACACAGGGAAAACTTTGTCGGAAGTTGTTAATATTCAGCTATTACGCCTTAACACCTGTTTATGTAGGACTATGAATAATTACTTCAAGTGCGTGAGCGCGCACACACACACACACACACACACACACACACACACACACACACACACAGACAGACAGACAGACAGACAGAGGGTCGATGGATATATTATCGTCTAAATTACGCAAAATAAAATAACACTGACATCTCGTTTTAACAGACATATTTACCAAAATTACAGAGAAATGTCTTGAAATACTAAAGAGTAAATTTATTCAATAAAACCGCTATTGGCTTCAACCACGGCTTTCCAGATGTCTTTGAAATGTCCTGCAACTCTTTTGGACGGTCTTCTTTAAGTTGGTGAATGCTGCGATAATCCTTGCCTTCGAGGTCATCTTTGGTGTTACAAGGAATTTTTTGGCCTCTCCCTCAACTGCGCCCATACATAATAATCAAGCGAGTTGTAGTCTGGGTAGTTAGGTGGCCAGATGTAAGGGGTGAACTGGTCGCAGAAATTGTCTGGCACCCATGAGTGAGTTCTCCTGCTTCTGTGGAATGGTGCAGAGTTCTCTTTTCAAACTTAGGCTCTTCCAGCAGCCACCCTCTTGACCCAGGGCAGCACTACCTCCGCAAGACACTTAATGTAGGTCTCCGTGTTTAGTCTGAGGCCTCACAAACCAATTCGGGAGTTCTTTTCTCATCAGAACGACCACTGAGTTTTCTGAGCTGCCGTACCTTCGTAATCATCATTACAACTCTTTCCGAATCCTTTGTACTGTCTTCAGATTGACTCCAAAACACTCCGAAATGTTCGTATTGGAGCTTCCAGCAAGAATGCTAAGAAGTACAGCATGCTGTTTCCAAATTTCTGACAGAGTGAATTGTGTCATGGTGCTCTTTTTCTCAATGACGTTGCCCAAATGACCCTACTATACTGTGTAGTCCACATATTCAAAAGCAAACAAGGCGCATGCACGAAATTAGAAATATAAAATAGTGACAATTTACCCATCGCACCCAGTATGTATGTTTGAAGAGCAACGAAAATTGTTTGTTTAAGATTTTATTTTTCTACTGTTCGAAACATTTTCTGGTTTGCAGGGAGAATTTGAACATAAAATGTTCAAAGTCTTCTGTCCGCTTTCGACATTTCTTATACATTTTCAAAGAGTCTGTCTATATCTCTGAGATGAGGTATTATGATTACTATCAACACAAAAACTCTTTGATAATTACTTACATTATTTACATTATACGGACTGTTATCCTCATCTTCATTGCTATATTCACAACGTTTCGGCTGTTGTACGCCCCGGCCTTCTTCAGATGATTGGAATTTCAAACCGAACCCTTTATTTCGTCCACCGGGGAGGGTTAGATTGTTCTAGTTCCATGTGCCATGCCTCTTCCGGATGTCTCAATTATTTCCCTTTAACTCAACTCTCCAAATTTTGGTTCACCACTGCTGTGGCCTGGTATTGAACTCGCAATTCCAATCACCTGAAGAAGACCTGGGCGTACAACGGCGGAAACGTTGTGAATATGGGAATGAAGATGGGGGTAACAGTAAATGATGTAAGTAATTATAAAATATTTTGTGTTGATAGGGTTGCGTAAAAAACAAAAAAAGACAACCCCCCCTCAAAAAAAAAAAATCTACAAACAAAAAATCCCAACGAAATAAGCCTTCAGTGATATTCATTTTTATCCTGAAGAAAAAAGTATTCGAGTTCGAATCGCAGTGAAAGCTTATTTGTTATTTATAATCACAATGCTTGTCGACATTTGTCGAATGACGATCTGAGAGTTAAGATAAAATTAAACAAGAGAAATGAAACGAAATAATTTTAAAAAAATAACTATAATTGACAATGCTCTAATAAATTTGAATAACTGCACTTCTTACTTCTTCCTTCCCTCTCCCTACAACAATCTGAGTTAGTAACTCTCTACCTTGAGCCTTGTATAGTGTTTTAAGGCCATTCATAGAGGCAATGATTTCTGGAGTAGCTGACGATATATTTCGCACGAAAATATCCCAATCTGAAGTGGTTAGATTTAGATTAACAGATGGCTAAGGAGTTCCGTATAGTTTCATATAGAGTGATTACATCTATTTACTTGTGTTTAAGACAGAACACATGACGGAGAAAGAAAATAGGCTACAATCAGAATCACTAATTAAGTTTTGAACATTAATAATTGCTATTGAACAGTGTTACAGAATGCAGAGGTTGGGCCAGGATAGCAAGTGATGTGGGCGTGGAATTCTAACAGTGATTGATTGGCTTTGACTTTATAGTGATGGATTATCTTTGTCTAACTTTTGGATATAAGATCAAAACTGCACGAAGTCAACAGAAGGCCGTAAGAATTTTGAAGGGTCGACACGTTTCCGGCACCCAGAATTCTCAGAGAAGCTAGCCCGCACTTGATGGAACACTTAGGCAACGAGTGGACATGCATTTTCCTGATGATCTTTCCCCGGCAACAAAAAGAATGTTTTTTACATTCCCAACGAAATAATTAAGCAATAGTCCAACTTTTGAGAATTGAAATACTTTAAGATGTTTATGAATAATGAACGCGTTACACGTCATGTTAAGACGTAAGCATGTGTGGACAAATAACCATTACAAGCATAATCAGTTTAGTCTCTTATGACAGCAGAATAAGAGTTTGCAAGTCTACTTGACAAGATTGATGTTTTCCACGCAATTTGTGATTTCTTTTTATAAATTCATGTTGGTAAGTGAATAAGAAAACAGATAAAAAGAACGCTTACGTTACGCGTTTCGACCTTCGGAATAACTTCTTCAGACCAATAATAGTTTTATCCATGGAATCTTATATATTTAGTTGGGGGATAAAATACAATAAACACTGGCTACCAGTCCTCATCGAGAAACACTAAAGCTTTGAATTTAAATTTAAAAATTTAGGTGACTAATGTATCTAGATTTTGCTTTTATTTTTATCACTATTGATTTAAATATCTCACACTGTAATAACAGTAGTTTTAGTAGGAGAGGAGATATGTTGGCGTAATTTACTCGGCGTAATTTACTCGGCGTAATTTACTGTGAAAGACTCCGAAACTAGTGTACTTTAGTACTTTTTTTATTAAAAAAAAAACAAACAAAAACAAAAAAAAAACAAACCAAAATTGCATGCTTTCGTTCTATTTCATACTTCCTATATGTATAAGATTCCATCGATGAAACTATTATTAATCTAGAGAAGTCCTTTCGAATGATAAAACGCGTAACATAGCAGTTTGTCTTTAATTCAATTACCCACTATTAATCTGATATATATATATTTTTAATTTTTAATCAAGCTCACCTAAAGTCACAGACACGTAAATGGTTACTGGGTGTGGAAGAGTTAGAAATAGGAACATTACTAGCGAGCGAGAATAGAGGAAGAGTAATTAGGAGGTCAGCAGATAGCGATTGACATTACATTTAAATTTTTGCAGATTAAAGTTGGCTGGAAAGCATGGGGACGGAAGGGAGTTCCACAAGCGAGAATTGCGAGAAAAGAAACTCTTAGCATAGAATTTACGGCTACATCTAGCCAGATCGACTTTAAATTGGTGGCGCTTCGTCGCCAGTCTAGTGCTGCGCTTAAATTCAAATAGTCTAGGCACCATTGGGAAGAGCTCATCCGCACAATTACCATAAAAGTATTTAGAGAAAAAGCAAAGGGAGGTAACCTTACGACAGTGGCATTGTCTCCCTTCGCCTTTTCTATGAATATTATATATCTTCTATAAATTCACATAAATCATTTGGACATCTGTGTATATCTCTGAGATGAAGTATTATGATTACTTACATTATTTACATTATTCGGACTGTTATCCTCATCTTCATTGCCATATTCACACATTTCGGCCGTTGTACATTCTTCGGATGATAGCATGGCACGTGGAACTAGAACAATCTACCGAAATAAAGGGTTCGATTCGAAATTTCAATCACCTGAAGAAGGCCGGAGCGTACAACGACCGAAACGTTGGGAATATGGCAATGAAGGTGAGGATAAGAGTCCGAATAATGTAAATAATGTAAGTAGTCAATTTGACATTTTCTTATTGTTGCAGTTAAGTAATGAAGTACAAACCTCAAAACGACACAGTTTCTGATTTTCTGTCAATGCATATGGAATTTATTATCTAACATTTTCTTCATTTTTCCATCGTAGCCAAACGAAGTTGTGTCCGAAGAAAATTCAAAGCTTGACTAAAAGAGCGCAATTTGTTGTTTTCGGATTTGATTGACGTTCATGGGTCTTTGTTATAGATCTCTTTGAGCATTTTTATTTCCGGAGATAAATGTCTGTTTTGTACGCTAGGTAGCGGTTCCTTTTCCAATTAACAGCTTGATATTTTACTTATGTTTGAACTGCATTGTTTCCGAATTTGAATCATTGCAAAATAACATTCATGTTTGCTCCAAATAAAGACAACATATTTTCAATGACGAAATAAGCTCATGATAAATGGATCACTTGAAAATGAGGTACAACAAACAACTAGATAAAATTACAAGTAACAATACACTCGTACTTAAATCGAACTTGGTGACACCAAAACAGGTGTCGTTGCGAATTGGCACTTCATGGGGTACAAATGCATACAAATTAAACATTGCAATATATTAAAACATTCTGCTAGGACTTCATTTAAAACCAGTGAATTAATCATTACGTGGCAAAAGCAACAATACTTCTTAAACATTTCCGGCTTTCACTATTAGCGACACACGTGCTTTTAATGTTCGATATTGCTACATATGAGCGTTTCGAAGAGTTCTCATAACAAAATGATAGCAAAGTCTAGATGAAGAAATTTAATATACCCCCCCCGCCCCCCAAAAAGGAGAAACTGACAAATTTATGAAACCCAGTGATTTCAAAGTTATTTAGAAAGCTCAACTT